CTTGTCTAATCTTTCACTGAATTTTCCTACTGTTAACTACTTCTCAGGAAAGAAAATGATCTGAACGATAAAACTGAAATTGTTCACAATGAGGTTAGTTAGAGTTTAGTGGTCATTAGAGATGGCTCATGTTGTGTTTGGGATGTTTTCAGTTCGGAAATGTCATACATCGTGCATTGATTGTCCGGAGCACATAAAGGTTTCGACACAAGAATGACTTGTGACTATCGATAACCTTAAATACGATTAATTATTACGATGAAAAACAGACAAAATACTAAGGCAAAAAGTAAATACAAAATACATTTAGACGCTGTTGCAGAAGTCTACATCCACCACTGTCACGGGATGCTCTGTGAACTAACATGACCGTAAAAACCCCATTCTAATTGTACAAAATAATTTTTTATACAATTCAATTCTTACGCAGTGCTTAAGATTTTTTTACGAATTGAAAAATAAAAATTCGCAATCGACATTTGCTTTGGAGAGTCAAACAAATTCCTGATACGTTATGCAATGGATATATCGAAGAAGAGGTCATATTACTTGAAGGCTTGTTTATTCATATGATGGTGGAATCTGGCTTTAAACAAACTCGTTTAAAACGTATGCATTTTTGAGAGGAGCAAAGCCAATGGAGTAATCACTTTAACTGACCTGGAACTAGTTGTCGCAAGGGGTCCTTGATCTTGAGAATGCGTTACAAATGTGTCTTTAAAAAAAACTTGACGTTCACAGTCAAGCGGGGGGCAAACCTGAAGTAAAATCATGATTTTCTTTCACTAACTCAATGTCTTGGCTGATATCAATGCAAAACATGATGCTAGTTGCCAAAGATATAATTATTATTGATATAATTTCAGTTGCTCTGCTACCAAAACTACTAACAATCCATCTTGGTTATCGTTCATTCACAATAATGGTCTCCCAAGACGTCAGGATGGTCCTTGGGCGTGGCTGGTACTTTGTGTTTTCTGTATTTGTGCCGTTTCTCAGGGAGGAATTGCGTTCGGGTATGGAGTCATTCTTCCAGACTTAATGGCGTCTCTCAATGCGAATCGAGAAAAAACAGGTAAATAATATGGATCCTTTATGGATAATATTAATAAAGTTCAGAATTTATCGGTTTTTATTCAAGTCTATGCTCAGTTAAAAAAAATTAGACTGCATATTCTTTCTCACGCCTTTGTTTAACACCCTTTTTACTCAATTGAACGGAGTTTCGAAATTGTAGAGCATTTTTTACCACTGCCTGTTGATACCACAGCTGGAAATATCTAGGAACTTATTAAGCAAGTATCTGCTGAAAGTCTTATTTGAAGTCATGTATTATTAATAATTTCTTCAATCTTTTCTAGCACTCGTTGGATCATTGCGGTTGGGTGTTACGTTCTTTTCGTCCGTCTTTGCCAGTARAATTTGTGARCTATATACTTGTCGTATAACCGGAGGTWTAGCGATGATACTACAAATCGCTGGMTTCGTCCTGAGCTCCATTTGTAAATCAATATATCCTCTTTACATCACGTATAGCMTACTGACAGGTTTAGGAGGTGCTCTAGCATTCACGTCAGGATTCATCATTCTCAGAAAGTACTTCAACAAACGCTATTCCTTGGCTGTTGGTATAGTTTCTGCYGCGGCTGGTTTTGGGACTTTGATTATTGGACCCGTGTTAAAGGCAATGTTGGACAGTTTCGGCTGGGAGAACACATTCCGTATTTATGCGGGGACATATGCAGGTCAGCTGTTTCTACTCTATGTTATGGACCCAAATGTTGAAAAAGAGCAACAACAAGCTGAAGGAACAAAGGCAGGGAAGTTAACCCGAAGTGGTGATAAAGTTCAACGAAAAGTTGTCCTGGGATTTCTCGATTTGTCAGTGTGGATGTTCCCTGAATACACCATATGTGTTATAGCGATATTCGTGGGTAGTTTCGGACAGTACACGGCTTTGATTCATATGGTGAGTTGAACACTTTTCTCTAGTTATATTAATTGATTKCTTGTTAAACCTGTTTTTCTGCAGATCTCGTCTTCTTATAGTGATGAGGTAAAAAACTTCTTGGAACCGCCCTTGTTGTTGTTAATTTATAACACCGTTCTTTATGCAGGTGAAATTCTCTGAAGAGTTGTCCGTAAGCAACGGCTCTACGCTGTTTGTGTTCTTTGGTTCTGCGACAGTCGTATCAAGACTAATATGTGGAAGACTTTGTGATGTCAGTTTTATCAAACCAAGATAC